CCCCCTGGTCACGGCCGACAAATGATCTTCCAGTGTCAGCCGTGGATCCAGGAGGACACCCAAGTTGCGTGCCTTCTCTGAGGGGGCCAAAATTTCACCCCCTATAGACAGCGATGGAATCAGCTGACTATGCCGAGGCGCCGGCAGCCACAGCCACTCGGTCTTGGAAGGGTTGAGCCTGAGTCTGTTCCTCCCCATCATTCTTGAGGTTAAGTTTGAAAGAGAATAATCATTTTTCCCCATGTAATTTTCCACATGAAGATAATATTTTATTAGATGATGGTGAACAGATAATATACAATAAAAAAGCATGATAAACAATCTAAATGATTTTGCTTGGTTCTCTTTCATTCCCAACCCCTAGACTAAAGTAGACTTTAGAAGTATGTGGCCTATTGAAGCATTTTCCCCTTATCATTCTTTTGATGAGTTATGGGCTATTTGATTAGAACTTTTTGTCTGCAAAGAAATTGGAGGGGAAAGCTAGTTCATAAATTCATTTTTCATTCTTTATTTCATAGAAAATGTTCCCAGTGCAATGGAGAGGGAGCTACAGAATTTCAGATTCCTTGCCTTATATTATTTTAAATGTAATAACAATACCTTCTGAGAAAACTATATGCACAATTAAAAAATAAATTATAAATATTGTTTGGAGATAAGAGTGAAAATCAGAGTGATTATCACACCGAACTAAAACCATGCAGTTTTAGAAGAAGTTTTGGATCACGTTATTCTTTATTCTCATTCTTGAGGAAAGTGGATAGCATAAGCAACAAAAAAAAATACCGTAATGTATGTTTAAAATCCTGTTTAAAATCTCAATTTCTCTAAAAGGGATCTTTATTTAAACAAAATAAAAAGAATATCTTTGATTCTGGCAAATCCATCTCTTTCAACCTTGCTTTGCTTTGCTTTTGCCAGAAACTAATTCTGTTGGCCCTTCTGTAACCCTGGTTGTCGTTTTTCCCTGCTGGAAGTTTGGCAAAAGTAAAAACTGGCAGAGGACAACATATTATATTTTTAACTGTATATTAAAAACTTTTTTGTATAGCCATTATTTTTACTATGTGCTCCAGTTGTGACTCAGAGTTGCTTCAATCACATTTCCTTCTTTGGCAAATGCACAGCAGGTGTACAACTGAATATATATATATATTAACAACGGTTCCTCTATTACTGTTATTTGGCAAGAACGGTCTGTTTCTAAGGTCAGCCAAAGGTGGGGGCAGCAGTTTAATATTGCCTCTGGTATTAGCCTCTTTCCACACAGGGGGATGAGAGTAGGGATTGTCATAACTAGTACTAGAATACTTTCTTGAGCCAAAGTAGTAAATAAAACTGTGGCTCCAGATAAAACTTGTTAGAAATTCTGTACCTTAAAAAGAAATTGCCTGGATAGTTGGGCTTGGAAAATAAGACTCTCAGCTTCATTGGTTGTTGGAAAAGGCAAAGCAAAATATTCTTGTTGAACATCTGTGAGCTTCATTTGATTTTCCATATTTTGATATGCTATAAAAATGATTTGCCAGAAGGAAACAATCTTATTAAAGAAGATCCTCTGGCACCAGAATAATGGCTGCTCACATAGCAGGACGAAGAACTATGGCTAAAAGTTTAGTAGAATGACTGAGAAATAGTAATTTATCTTTTCCAGAGCAAAGACATGTCACTGTATAATGCTTTTAGGTAACCTACCTAGCTCTACAGATCTGTGCCTGTTCATCTGTCTACAGGACCATCTCAAAGTGCTTATTCAAGGCTGTACCAACATTATTTCCAATGGTGTTCTTGCTACTAGACTGGTAGTGAATGGCACTAAAGCAACCTAGTTTGCCTACCTGAAAGGCTGTATTGTTAAACATTTCTGGGACTCCTTAACAAAGCTGAAGTCCAGCAAATCTAGAGGACACTGGTTGAGAATCCTATCCTATTAAGTAACAACAATAACAACAAAACAACGAATCTGTTGCCTTATAATCAATGAAAACAAAGCCTAATTAAAATTAAAAGTTTACAGCTACATATTTTCAGCAGCCACCAAAACCTGTATATATCTCCAATTTATCAAAACTTGAATCTGTTAACATTTCTATTAATTTTATAGTAGTCTTTCTTTCAGGTGAGAAGAAGCCTCTTTTAAACCAGTTTTGCACCATGTCCTTCCCTAGTTCTTTTCCATGTAGAAGCCATTTATGACAACTCTCCAGAACATAGTCCTGTCATTTTTCAAAGGAATACTCACTCACAGAGATGCTGCTCTTTTCAGGGATAGGAAGGGGGAGCAATTGAGTGCAATCACTAATACGAAAGACGGTTTATTCACACAGTTCAGTAGCTAATGCACCCTCCAGGTTTCTGGACTTGCCTACCTTGGCAGACAGACTCCGTGGTTTGCTGGAGAGGATCTCTGTAGCTTCCCTGCAGTGGGTGGAAAGGTTCAGAATTGCAGCAGCTGCTGCTATGTGGGTGTCTTCACTACATTGACCATAGCGATAAGAGCTGGCATGGCAAGGGCTCTGTGTGTGGGCGCTAGCACTAGGCTGCCGATTAGAAAATTTCCCTGGATTTGAAAAATGCTTTGCTGTTGAAGAGAGATTTGATTAGAAGTAGTTCTATGAAACTGTCCTCCTATTAAAGGGACAAAGGCAATCAGCTCATACAGTAAAATAGACAAACAATGCATGAAATAAAAGCTACTCTTGACACAAAACTCAACATTTTTTTAAGTTTCAGAAATTAATAGATTTAAAACATTAGACAGTGTTGTCATATAAACGTTCAGATACTTCCAAAATCAGTAGAGGACAACATTGTAAATCCATTTCCTAAAATGTTCTCATGCCATGTGAAGGAAATGTTGTAGGAGTTTAATTATGATGCTATGCCTGCCATCTAGCAAATTTTGAAGCCTTCCCCCATGGACATTCCTAACTTTTGGTATAGTTTTGTCTCTTTATAAAACGTTTTCTTAATATTTTATAGATGTTTAGCCTGAACTCAACATTGCAGCATTCATTTTGATTCTTGAATCTCTTGGGATGTATCACCGCTTACCTGCAAAAGTGCACACCCACTTAGAGTGCAATTGAGATCCAGCTATAGCTTGAGCATGCTGGCAGTTAAGCTCCTATATAATTATATATTTAACCGAGAATTTTAAAGTGGATATTTATAAAATGACAATTCATGTGGGGTACAACACAATATTGTGTCTCTCTATCTGTATCCCAGTAATTGGAATTGTTAATAATGCCCTAGAACAGTGGTGGGGAACCTATGGCATGTGTGCCAGAGGTGGCACTCAGAGCCCTCTCTGTGGGCACGCGAGCTATGCCCCAGAGATGGCAACCATCCCTCTTCAAGCAGCCACCCGCTAACTCGCCGAGGTCCCACATGGCCGGATGCATCCCAGCACGGCTGGTTTCCTTCCCCCCCATTCCATCCCTCCTGGCCTCGCATGCTCTCCTTTTCCCAGGCATAACCCACTGCATCGCCTCCTCAGCTATTGGCTTGCTGTTGAGCTCAGAGGCGGCTTTTCTGATTCACTGGCAGTGGGCTGCGGAGCCCTAGAGTGCGCCGGTCAAAGGGTCGGCAGGCTGTGGCTGCTGACGGACACTGTCGGCCCCCATGCGCTCACTGGCCTATGTGTGCAGGGGCTGATGGTGTCAGGCAGCAGCTGCCCTGGCCCCTGCATTGCCTTGCCCTGCAACAATGGCACCCCTGTCCTGCCTCGCCTCCCCTCACCCTGCAGGATGAGCCTCCTGCCCACTGTCCCACCCACCAGAGACCCCCTGGATCTCCCCCAGCCCTGTCTGGCCCCCACAGGAGTCCCTGCCCACGAGCAACATCGAGGTGACCACGCCCACCTTGGCCACACCCACCCATTCTGCCATGACCACCACAGCCACACCCACCCAGCGGGCCACGCCCACCTGGCACCCGACGATAAATAAGTGGGTCTTGGGTTGCAGTTTGGGCACTCGGTCGCTAAAAGGTTCGCCATCACTGCCCTAGAAGATGAGTTTTCAAAATGTACGTGACTCAGAGTTTACCAGTATCTTCAGATAGAGGGATTACAGGGTATCACAATACAAACATCAGAGCAATCACTCTGACCTTATAAAAATGCCATGATCTTATTTTAAGTGTAATTCTAGTAACCTAGATGCCACTAGCCTTTCTGCAAGAGATCATCAGATTTGTATAATTACACCTTTTACATTAATCAGTGGAACAACCTGCCTCCAGAAGCTGTGAATGCTCCAACACTGGAAGTTTTTAAAAAAAGACTGGACAGCCATTTGTCTGAAATGGTATAGGGTTTCCTGCTTGAGCAGGGGGTTGGACTAGATGACCTCCAAGGTCCCTTCCAACTTCCACTATAGATAGATAGATAGATAGATAGATAGATAGATAGATAGATAGATAGATAGATAGATAGATAGATAGATAGATAGATAGATAGATAGATAGATAGATAGATAGATGATGTCGCAGTTAAGCGACTGCTGCCTGTGGATGGCTTTGGATTGAGCTGATGCAGGCAAAAGACTTCTCTCTTTCCCATATTTAGGCTGACAGGGTGTTCAAAAAAAAGCACTCATTCTCTTCCCCTGTCTCTTGTAGCTAACAAAGTGAGAAAGAGCCTGTGGCATAAGGGACTAATGCTTCTGCTTAACATGCAGACAGCCCAGGTTCGAATCTCAGAAGGGTATGTCTGACTGATGAAAACCAAATAAGGTTAGAAATAGCTATCTCAGTACTCCCTTAATTCTTTGTTAGCATTCCAAATTTGAAAAACATATATGATGTCGCAGTTAAGCGACTGCTGCCTGTGGATGGCTTTGGATTGAGCTGATTCAGGCAAAAGACTTCTCTCTCTCCCATATTTAGGCTGACAGGGTGTTCAAAAAAAAAAGCACTCATAGATAGATAGATAGATAGATAGATAGATAATGCGTAGCACTATATCTATCTATTTATCTATATCTATCTCTATCTATCTCTATATCTATATCTATATCTATCTATCTATCTCTATCTCTATCTTTATCTCTATCATATCTATCTATCTATCTATCTATCTATCTATCTATCTATCTATCTATCTATCTATCTATCTATCTATCTATCTATCTATCTATCTATCTATCGTGGAAGTTGGAAGGGACCTTGGAGGTCATCTAGTCCAACCCCCTGCTCAGGCAGGAAACCCTATACCATTTCAGACAAATGGCTGTCCAGTCTCTTCTTAAAAACTTCCAGTGTTGGAGCATTCACAGCTTCTGGAGGCAGGTTGTTCCACTGATTAATTGTTTTAACTGTCAGGAAATTTCTCCTTAGTTCTAGGTTGCTTCTCTCTTTGGTTAGATTCCATCCATTGCTTCTTGTCTTGCCTTCAGGTGCTTTGGAGAATAGCTTGACTCTCTCTTCTTTGTGGCAACCCCTGAGATATTGGAACACTGCTATCATGTCCCCCCTCGTCCTTCTCTTCATTAAACTAGACATACCCAATTCCAGCAACCGTTCCTTATATGTTTTAGCCTCCCGTCCCCTAATCATCTTTGTTGCTCTTCTCTGTACTCTTTCTAGAGTCTCAACATCTTTTTTATATCGTAGTGACCAAAACTGGATGCAGTATTCCAAGTGTGGCCTTACCAAGGCATTGTAAAGTGGTATTAACACTTCACGTGATCTTGATTCTATTCCTCTGTTAATGCAGCCTAGCACTGTGTTGGCTTTTTTGTCAGCTGCAGCACAGTGCTGGCTCATATTTAAGTGATTGTCCACTGGGACTCTGAGATCCCTCTCACAGTTACTACTATTGAGCAAGGTACCCCCTATACTATACCTGTGCATTTGGTTTTCTTGCCTAAATGTAGAACCTTACTTTTTTCACCATTGAATTTCATTTTGTTAGATAGTGCCCAGGGTTCAAGTCTGTCAAGATTCTTCTGTATCTTAAGCCTGTCTTCTGGAGTGTTGGCTATTCCTGCCAGCTTGGTGTCATCTGCAAATTTGATGAGTTCTCCTCATCTCCCTCATCCAAAACATTGATGAAGATGTTGAAGAGCACTGGGCCCGGGACAGAGCCCTGGGGCACCCCACTACACACTTCCCTCCATGTAGATGCAGTTCCATTGAGGACCACACACTGAGTACAGCCAGTCAGCCAGCTACGAATCCATCTGCTGGTGATACTGTCTAACCCACATTTTTCTATCTTATCAAGTAATAGGTTGTGATCTACTTTATCAAATGCTTTACTGAAGTCCAAGTAAATTATATCCACAGCATTCCTCTGGCCCACTAATTTTGTCACCTGGTCAAATAATGCTATAAGATTTGTCTGGCATGATTTGTTTTTGACAAGCCCATGTTGGCTTTTGGTAATGGCTTTGTTTGCCTCTAGGTGTTCACTGATTCATTGTTTGATTATCTTTTCCAGAATCTTCCCAGATATTGAAGTCAGACTGATAGGTCTGTAGTTTCCTGGATCCATTTTTCTTCCTTTTTTGAAGATGGGAACTACATCGGCTCTTTTCCAGTCCTCCAGTAGTTCCCCAGTGCTTCAGGATCTTTGAAAGATATAGTTCAGTGGTTATGAGATCACATCTGCCAGTTCCTTCAGAACCTTGGTGTGTAATCCATCTGGTCCTGTGATTTGAACTCGTCTAGGGGGGACAAGTGCTCACGTACTATTTTCTTGCCTATCTTAACTTGTGTTTCTAATCTGTTTTTATGGTACTGTTTTTGATAGGATGGACTGTTTTTTCCCTTTGTGTAAAGACGGATGCAAAAAATGAGTTAAATAGTTCTGCTTTCTCCCTGTTGCTTGTCACCTTCTTGCCAGTTTCTCCCACTAATGGACCAATCATTTCCTTAACCTTTTTCTTGTTTTTACACACACATGTGTGTATACATGATTTCTCAGAAGGAACTAGGTATTTTTACCATAGTGAAGCTTTTAACTATGCTAGTTGCATATTTTGTTTGGTACGTACATCCTGGGAAATAAAACAAAAAAATACAGTGTAATTTTGTCGGTCTCTTACTTACATTCAAAGGATTGTGTGGTTTTTTGTCCTTGTATAGTTGGCATCACTGTGCATTTGCCAAAGACTTGGGCATCAAAGCTAGCATAGTCAAAAGGTACTTTCCCATATTTCTCTTGCTCTCTTGTAAAAGTGGTTCCGGAGGAAGGGGTCAGTACAGATTGGCAGCTGTACTGAGATAACTCAAAATGTTTCACCAAGTTTGTCCTTCATAAAGAAGACACAAAATATCAGAATAATATCTATTGTTATTAGATTCATTCTCTAACAGAGATACATTTAACAGAGTAATTTTTTAGAACTGCAGATTAGCACTAAATGTTTAGAACTAGGAAACACAAAATAGTAAGATACAAAAACTAATATTGTTCATATATTTTCTTAAAGTTCTTTTCTTATATATAAAGATGTGCAGATTTCAACTCCTAGAATTCTCCAGCCGGCATGCTTAAAGCTGCCAAGTTTGAGAAACATTGGTCTATAGAATTACCTTTCTCACCACAAAACTCCTCACAGCTGAGGCAGACAAATTTAGTGGGTTTTGTGTTTAGGCATGCCTGTTACTAGCTTTGACTGGTTCATCAGTTATGTCTTCCTAAATACAGCTCTTCCTAAATACAGCTCTCCATATCTACCCTTGGTTGGTATTTCTCTGAGAAATTAGGAGGATATAGTTGAGTTGAATTTATTCTTCCCAATTTAGCCTCATGAATCATACAGTATGAGGTCAGTTCTTTATCCATGATCAAACAATGGATAACAGTAGTTACATTGTAAACCAACCTGGCATCCACCAGATACCTGAAAGAAAGGCCTTTTCTTTTTTTACTTCTGCAAGGATATTTCAAGGTGTCTTTTGAAACCTTCTTGGGTTTCTTCTTTAGTGTTGGTGATGGCAATACTAGCATTGCCAGCATTGGGGTTATTTTTTTCTACACTCCATCTATCATTCTGAATCCTTCATAGCTGCCCATATTTCTGGAAAAGACCTGACCCTTTTCTGGAGAGGAATAGCTTGATAATTGTTGTCCATGAGCAGGTGACCTCACATTTGAATTCCTGAAATGAACTGTATGTGGGCCTTCTTTGTTTCTGTCCTGGAAGATGCAGATGAGGGGCCAGTCTTCTGGATGGGCATCTAGCCATACTTAACAATATTCATATGCTGAAGATATAGCACTGGCTACCCATTAGCTACCATGCCAATTAGTATTGGCTTATAATGCCCTGAGTTACAACAGATGGCATCTCCTAAATGACCTTGGCTGATTTTGAAAAAGCTAAGCAGGGTTGGACTTGCTTTGTATTTGAATGGAAGATCACCACAAAAGCACAGGGTTATGGACTAATCTAAGATGTCAAATAGCATTCTGGAAGAAAGCTACGGCAAGACATGGATGTGGATGTGAACTCAACTTCAGGGAGATTTTACTTCTTTATAAAGGTCAGAACAACTTGGAATCAGAATCTCAATGTGTCTATCTTTTTCTTTAATATATCTGTGCAATTGCTATGATCATCTTGAGAGGTCTTACTGCTGATTTCAACTGGGAATTGACATTTTCCAGACATTCCAGCCTTTTTAGTGGTAGCAAATATTCTTTGGAAGGCTTTCTTTTGAAATTAGAAAGTTGCTTTCTATTGACACATATAAGTGCCTCCTAAAGACACATATTTTCTTCTAGGTCTTCCTTGTGTAAACAGTAGAGAGAGGTTTTTCCCCTTTATACATTTTAATATATTTTTATTATCATATATTTTATTATCATTTTTGTAATGAAATAAGAAATTTAATGGGATTCAGGATATTAATAGGTTAATGAATATGAGTTAATAAATAAATAATGAACTTGACTTAATAATGAATAGATTTATAAATGAAATGATAAAGTCCCAATTTCCCTGCATAGTGACCATGGTCAATTGGTGGGTTGTGGTGTTCTTTCAGGTGGGAAGACATGAAGAGTGTAAATGCAAACATTGCAAACATGTGGTGGCACAGTGGTTAGAATCTAATATTGCAGGCTAACTCTGCTGACTGCCAGCAGTTCAGTCCTGATGGACTCAAGGTTGACTCACCCTTCCATCATTCTGAGGTTGGTAAAATGAGAACCCAGATCATTGGGGGCAACATGCTGACTCTGTAAACCACTTAGAGCAGGGGTGTCAAACTGCCAGCCCGCAGGCCGGTTTCATCATACCAAAGCTGTGCCCACCCCATTGCCGGCAATGCAAAAAGAGTTGCGATACGTCACAACACGTCACATGACATGGTGAGTTTGACACCCGTGACTTAAAGAGTATAAAGCACTATGAAGTGATATATAAATCTAAGTGCTTTTGCACTGTGGTGGTTAGATCAGCCAGATTGCCATTGAATTTCAGTAGCAAAATCCTCAGGGGATTCGGGATGCATTAGGACTTTATATTTCTGTAATAATGAATGATGTCTCATCTGCACCTTTTATATGACATTTTATAATATATTAACTTCTACCTGCACTGCCAATTCAAAAGTTGAATGTTTCAGAACATTACAAGCTATAGCATGAATATAACATGAAGTATATATGTCTTTTTCCAGAATGCATCTACTATAAATATGATTCAAAATTTTTACCTATGGATCTGATCATGGCACTGCCCTGTTTTGAGTGATTCATGTTGATTTTTTTCCTGAGACATTGCCATTTTCTCAGCTGCAGCAATTGGACATCCAGAAAGACTATTGAAAAGATTTGTTACACAAAAGTAATTGTTAATAGTTTATACTCAGTGGTATTAGGATTTCTAATATGCATTTCACATCAAAAATAAAATATTCAGCTTGTTGCCCTTTTTATTCTGCTTATCATGTTAATTGCTATTACTGCCTTTAAAATCCAACTATATCTTCTTTTCACTGTTATCTCAAGCTATTATGCCTGCTAGATCTTTCTTTCCTATACATCCCCTGATGATTTTAATTCAGCTAATTTCCCATTGCCATTCACATACTAGGAGGCTATCCATTCTTTTCACCTGATTGTTGCTAACATAATTATTTCATTGCTTCCATAACATCATTATCTCTTTAGACTTGTAAGATCTTTGACCTCTCTAGTAGCCATGTTGATCTTGAACATTTTGTGATATAATACTTATTTCTTTCTTTCTCTGGGAAATTAGCTAAGTCAACCTTATTAATGACTTTAATGTACTAAATTAAATCATGATCTATCATAAATGGATCATAAATACTTAGAAGATTAAATCAATACACCAAAGTATATCAAGTTTGAATCAAATCATATATTTTCACTATATATATATTTGATCACTTGATTAGTCTTCACTGTTCTTTGTAAGTAATTTAAATTCTTTGTAGTTATAGACTACAAAGATAGTTTTAATATCAAGTTTACACCTAGGATTTCATATGAAATGAAGATGATGCCACATTCCTGTATAAAGTATATATACAGTAAGTACATAATTGAAAGCAAAAAGTTGGGGAAGGCATATACTCTCTGAGATTAGATAGCATGTATTTATATTGGCATCCTGGCTTTCTTAAGGAGAGCTGTCAATAAATTATGATTTAGGAATGAATGTATTTGATTCAATTCTAACATTTCTTAGTACTGTAAAATGAAATAACATAATTTCTCGAGTTATGTATGTTTCTTTTTCATTGATTTCAACAGGAGAATTGAGTATATATGTCATTGTCAGTCAGTAAAAACTTCGGGATCTAAAAGTACTTCATTTGGGCTGAAAATTCTTAAATTTATGTTTGTGTAAGGAAATTTTCTTGCAAGAGTTAAAAGTTTATATTATTAAGTGAGGTGGTCATAAAATGTGACATCATATGACTGTGCTGATTTATGATGGTGGTTACAACAGTCCCAGTTTCAGGTTTTAAGAAAATTCCACACAGTTGTCAGGTGCAATATTGCATGATCACCCATTTGTGATCTGATAGCTTTCCCATTATATTTTTCTTGTCAGTAATCAGCAATGAAGGTCTCAAATGGTGATCACATAACTGTGGGACAGTGTGATCATTATAATTGTGAGCTGCCAAGTGCCCAAATCCCAATCACATGACTGTGCGATACTGCAATAGCCATAACTTCAAGGTTCTGCCATAAGTCTCCTTCATCATTGTCATTGTAACTTCACATAGTTGCTGAACAGATGGTCATTAACTGAGAGTTACCTATATTGTTGCTTTATATGAAGTGACAGATATTAAAGAAAACATACCCTTCTTGAAGATACCAATGGAAGCAGACTTGAATTACCTTCTGTGAGTGTTGCGGTTGCTATTGACATGGCCTCTTCCTGTACATCCAGGGGTGGGACACTTTAAAACATTTTCATGCATGGCAAGGACTAAATAAAAGAAAAAACAAACAAACAAAAAATCCTGAAATCCATGCTAATTTTACAGAACAGTTCAACGTTGGCAACTGAGGGGAGATTTTCACTCTCAAGTTTATACTAGTGAACTTTCAACCCCAAAAATATTAAGACTTGTCACAATTGTAAAATGGATGGCTATATAAAGTGATTAAATGAATGAATAAATAGATGAATAAGTACATAAATAAACAAGACACCATCTCCCTCAGTTACTACATAATTCACAATAAGCAGAGAATCT